TTCTGGCATCTAGAGATGCTTCAGATATCCCTAACATCTCTAGATATTATAGCATCTGCCTTCTTAGCGAGATGTCCCTTCTTAGTAAGATGCTAAGTCACGTAATCCTAAGCTCCGCGGCAATCCTTCTCGTTAGCATCCTAAGTGGCTTCTTGATCATTCACCGTCATACCCAGGAAGAGGATCCTTCTTGCTGTTACTTGTAACATTATTCTTCTGTAGTTAATCTAGCTCTTTCTATATTACTAATAGATATTAATTCTTATTAGCGTGTTTAAGAACTTAAGCGTAGTTTTTTAGATTGGTGATATCCTTAGAGGTAAATATAATCTCCTCTAGAATAATATCCTCTGTAGAAACTTTAGTAGATAGAGCTATGTTACGATTAGCCGTAGAATGTGGAGAACATTTCGCTGTTACATTTATTTAACGAGTAATCTATGAGACGGCGAATCCGCAGTAAGAAATAGAGACACTCATTTGAGACTAGCGCATCACGTGATCTGCAAGATGCTCAGTGATCAGTATGTCTTGGCACTACTGAGCAACTGAGCATGTTGCATGAAGCTCTAGTATATAGCATTAGGTATTGAGCCCTTATGGCTCGATGTGTTCAACTTAAGTTACGAGTACAAGTACAATATAAACATTATACTTGCCTAAGTTACTGTCTAGCGCACACTGTCTCTCTATCTGCGAAAACCAACCAACAAGAAGCTTGACACTAGAAGTCTAATATTACTTCCACTCGAGCTATACTCTTAACAAGCTAATACGGCTGTTCTAGCTCTGTTCTTGATTAGAACGATTAGATTCTTTCTAACTATTCTCCATTAATTGGTGGATTGATTGGTGGATTGATGGGTGGATTAATGGGTGGATTGATCGACATTTTAATTAATTCTTAATGTCTTCATCTGATCTCTCTTCGGATGAAAATTTTAATTAGTTTCTTAATTAGTTTCTTAATTGATTTTGAGTTACGATTCGTAATTATAAGCTTAATCGTTAAACACTCCTTTAAGTATTCTCACATCTCTCGCAGTTATAATCTTATTCGACTTTAGATCGATTAGTTAATATAGATTACTACTAACATAGCTAGTAAGATAGTATGGCTAGACTCGAGAATTAAGTTTGCTAACGAATTCTTTTAGCTCTTTTCGATATGCTAGAGATCTCTAGATTTTAATATTACTAATATTTAGCTTATATCTTTATTTGGCTTCAAATAGTGTTCAAAAGCTAACAGAACTATATAGCGTTCTATTATATAGATATACTGCTGAGAGTAAAGCTTCTGCTTATAGCTTATTTAGTATTTTAGATTTAAATAGTAGAGCTCTAATCTTATCAAATAGTGTTTAATTAATCTATTTAGCTCTACCTTTACCTTCTAGATTAAATAGAGGGGTAAATTAGAGTTTAAAATCTTTTCTATTTAAGAGCTTCTACAGATCTTTCGTATTTAGCTTATTATCTAATTAGATAAGCTTAATCTGCTTTGAATCCTATACTTCAGCTTATTTAATAAAAGCTTTAACTAGTATTATAAGCTCTAATCTAGATATAAGAAGATCGACTTCTAGATACTTAGTATAGTAGTTAAGAAAGAGTATATAGTACCTATAGCCCTTATTTATTTTTAGCTTAATAGGCCCTTCTAGATCGTAGTAGATAAGATCGCTAAAATTATTGACTAGAGTTAAGATTAGATCTCTACTTATCTTACTAGCAAATTTACTTTTTAAGCATATCTCTCAATTACAAAATAAGTTACTAGTCTTAATATTTAATTTAATACCATTAGTATTTTCACGAAGCTTATTTAAGCTTATCTTTCTAATATAGCTAAAACGTTAGTGTAGTAGAGATATCTAATTATTCTAATTAATAGATTTCGATTAATTAAGCTATTCTAATAGCTCTAATTATTTAGATAGATTTAATATATTAGATAATAGATTTAGCTAGTCTAATAGATTAATTAGTTATACTAAGTTATTAATCTCTACATGAATCTAATTAGTTTAATGGATATCGCTAATTATAGTAAAGATCGCAATCTTTTAAGCGTATTATCTCTTAGCTAGTATCTTACTAGAATAAGTAATTAGACTATACTTCTTAGTAAATTAGAATTCTACTCCTTTTTAGACTGCTTAATAGAGACTTAATAGATTAACACGAAAGTCTAGTATAAGGAGTACTTCTTTTAGCACTACTAATCTACTAGTGCTAGTGAACGTATTTAGTACTTCTTCTTTAGCTATTACTAGTAGTAGTATTCCTATATTACCCTATTTAATATAGGTGTTAGATACACTAGTAAGATTCTAAAATAGAGTTCGATCGTAGCAGATATACGTACTAGCTCCACTATCTAGTATCCACTTAATAGATTTGGTAGATTAGATGAATCTAGTGGTATTAATATTAGCGATATTTTAGTCTACTAATACAATTGTAGATAGAGCTTCTTCTGTTTTAAATAAGCTCTAGTTAGTGCGCTTAGATAGATCTTTTTACTAATATTAATTAACTAGATGCCCATTTCTTCTGCAGTAGCTGCAGTGCTTCAAGCTTCTATTAGATTTCTAAGTTAATAAGAACATTTCTATATCCTTAGATTAATAAGATTAATAAGATTAATTAAATCTATAATCAGATTGATAGTATAGATTAAATTAATAGAATGGATTAGATTAATAGAATGGATTGAATTGGTGGGATAGATTAGATCGATAAGATTTAATATAGCTCCTTTAAATTAAGCTGTTTAAGCTACTAGAGCTATTCTTAATAGATCTAAGACGTCTAGATTCGTTAATAATCTAGCTGTATATTATTTTAAGATTAATTTCTTTATTTAATCTAAAGTCTTGCTTGATCGCGGTAATAAGATAATTAAATTCTGAACTTAAATTGTTGAGTATTAGCGCAGTAATGAATTAATGAGGTAGTTTAATTTTGCGAGCTTTTAAGCTTAAAGTAAGCCTTAATAGCTTTTAAAGATAGGTTTTAACGTTATTTTAGCAGCTTATAAGTGTGGTATTAATTAGATCTTTATAGATTAAGAAATCAGAGCTAAACCCTTTCTAAGAGTATAGAGTTTTAAGATTGCTCTATAGCTCTGCTAGGCTAGTATACTCCTTCGTCTAAAGTAGTAGCCTGTCTTTAAGACTAAGTCGAAGTATTAATAGAGCTTTAGCTTCTAAGTCTCTAAGCTTCTAATAGCTCTCAGGGTATTTCTCTTAAGTAAGTTAGACTGAATTAATTAATATAATCTCCCTATAGTCTTACTGCACGAGTACTAATTTAATCTATAGTGCCTAGATATTATAGTTAGAGCTACCTTTAAGTTTTAGTACTTTGAAGATACTATTAGCTATTTTAATCTATTAGATTAGCTAATAAGTTCGTATATATGCTAATGCTATCGCTGTTACTGTTCTTTCTATAAAGAACTCTGGCTACTAATTAATTTAGATCGATATATTACAATTAGCTGATTTAGCTTCAGATGAACCTAGTATCTAGAGTTTTTCAGCTTCTTTAGCCGTGGTTTTCTCTTAACTCTTATTATTACTCTAGCTCTTGCTAAGAATCTAGCCTAAATAGTACTAGTTCTTACGTGAACGCTAAGCCTTTTATAGTAGACTTTGCTAGAACCTTCGATTAAACGCGTAATCCAGGTGTTACAAGTAACAAGAAAGACTCTCTCCTTGACAAATGACGAGATGGCTGAAGGCCTAAGGACGTCCACGTCAGAAGGTAATGATCAACGCGGGGCGTCGATCACGTGACTTGGCATCCCGCCAAGGCATGGCCTCCGGGAGGCCACCGCATAAAGGGAAGCCAACGTCCTCCCAAACCTCCCGCCAAGATGGGATGTCGGGAGGACAGGACAAGAAGCAATGAGGATATAAGGATGGATGGATTTCATTATTTACTCTCGTTGTGGTCAACTCAAATTGTACTTTCTTACTAGTATCTTTACTTAACAAGATTGTCACAAGTTAGTCTATTAAATAGATTAGTCTTGTTAAACCCTCCTTAAGCACGCCAACTCCACTGCATCGCCAGACAAGCCTCACGGAACACTAACGTAATACTCACCTGCCTTAGTGCGGACCAGGATAGAGAAGTATAGACCCTTACCCCGTGTAACACTTTGACCACCCACGGATCCAGTGGAAGGAGGATTAACCAGCAGCGTCCGAATAAGATTGAACTATGTCAGGAAATTCAAGCGAATATGTTCACATCCCAGGCTCGGCGCCTAAGGGAGATGTTAACATGACTGGTAGTACCCAAGGGGGAAATAACGAGCCGGCGGCAGGGAGCCCCGAGTACGAACTCGTCAATCTTAGACGCGAGAGCTAAGCCTAAGCAAGAGCAGATGGCTGAGTTGCA